GTGGTGAACTGCCGAATTTGATCTTCTCCGATGAGAAAACATTCGTTGTCCAGCAGTTTGTAAACAAACAAAATGATCGTGTTTACTTGCCAAAGAGGTCAGATGAAAATGTGAACTTCCGGTTGGCCACCAGAACTCAAGCGCCGGTGTTTACCGCCATAACAGACGATGGTCGCTCTCCACTAGTATTAATCGACCGTGGCATCAGAATAAATGCCGAATAATATTAAGGCCTTGGGCGCGCAAAAAATTTGGCCGCAGACCTTAGACATTCCAACAGGACTGAGCACTATCGCACTCTGCACGCGCCACCAAAAAATGGTTACAAAATGAGGTTCCTCGCTTCATTTTCAGCACACAGTGGCCACCACCACAATCCGGATACCAATCCGTTGGACTAATGTGTCTGGGGTATTTTGGATAGCAAGGTTGGCACTAAAAAATTCCAAAGTGTCGATCACCTCAAGCAAGCGCTTCGCCGGAAATGGGCCAAATTACCGCAGAGCAACATTCGGGCAGCGTGTGCCGGTTTCATTGGCCGTTTGAAGGCCAAAATTCGTGCCAAAGGTGACCAATTCGAACAAATCTAAAGTTATTCTAAAATTTGATGCTATCTCCGACATTTTTTGCTTTCATTCAATAAAATTTAAAAAAAAAGTAAAAATTTTGGCTTTTGATTTTGTTGTAGTTTTTTATCTCACCCTGTACTGCCAAAATGATGAATACCATGAAGCTCATAAAATGCGAATTTAACATCCGATTCCAATCAGACGTGGTATATCTCCATATTTCTACCAACACAAGATCTGTTATAAAGATGGTAGAGATCGGATCATTTCTTCTGGTACCTCCCCCACAGATTTTAAAAAACAAAACGCTCAAAGAAAGCAAAATAAACATCCAACTCTCTTCCAATTTAACAAAAACAATAGTTGTTGCTAACACAAGATCTGTTGTGAAGATGATATATATCTGCGAATCCCTTCTGGTTCGTCACCAACAAAGGGACATAATTTTCAATAGGTTTATCTGTCATAAATTGCGAAAAAAGTCAGCTATTCTTTACAGCTAGCTATATCTAAATTTTTCTCTCAACCAGAAACCGATTTCGATTCGATTTTCTGGTAATTTTGTTCATACAAATACTTTTATCTGTATTAGATGAAGTATGAAAATGGTACATCACGCACATTTTAACATTTTCTAAAAATTATCACATATCTCATATTAAGTGATGGAAGTAACCATTACAGTCCAAACCTGGCACGTCACAATATTTATATCACCTTTATTACGTCCGAAATGGAGAATATTGGCCCATTCCCTCGGAACCTACTCCATAGAGGGTAAATCATTTTAATAACCATAACAGAAGTCAAGATATATTTAAATAATTGAACATTGGTTGAGGGTGTACATCTGTCGGTGCAACCGACTGATAGCTTTTAACTTGATTTTTTGTATTAAAATAAATGGTTATGATTATTAGAAAATTTCAATTAACCCTCAATTTAAAATTTAATTTTAACAAGAATTACAAGAAAATTCCCATGATCAACGGAAAACCATTGAACATTTTTCACTCCTTTACATGCTCTGGATAATGTAATTTTATCTTTTGTTACAACTCAAAAATTCCACTCTGTTTAATGTCTTATTTATTGTATTGACACAGGATATTCTCCCTCTCGGTTGCTTGCCACACTCAAATTATTCAATGGCATCTCACCAAAAAACACTCTCCTGAACAGTAGAGCAAAGTAAAAGACATTCTCCGGTATTGGAATTCTGCTTGTCATACCATAAATTTTCTTTAAACAATCAATTCATCTTTTACAGTTAACTCGGTGTACGTGTGTGTGTGTGCATCTATCCAATACATGGCTTGCAAAAATGTACAGAAGGGAAAAATCATAACAAAAACCAAAGACTATTATCTGATGAAAGAATGTTTTCATTTTTTTCTTTGCCCTTGTGTGTTTGATGAGGAGAGGAATGTCCGTGGTTTTTTTCCTTGGTATTTTATTCTCGTTTTTTCAAGGGGAAAAGCATATCCTTCATCAAGTCCAATGACAGTTTAAGTATTTTATGGGGTGTGTTGTTACTTCCCAATAGCGTTAAACTATAATGGAGGTGGCACCATGGAGATTGTTATAAACGAAAACAATGAGATGATATATACATTGCCTTGGGAACTTTTTGTCATATCTTTTAAATGCGGTTCTTAACAATTGGTATTTAATTTTCGAAAGTATAGATCCTTCAGTCATTTGCAGGCAGCGGGTATATTAATAAACTAAATCCCCGATAGTAATACCCTCAGCCATATGGCTACAGGGGGTATATAGAAATTGATACAGGCAAAACGTACCTCATCGAAATAACGGTTTAGGTCTGTTTGGACCACTTCGTTTAAGGACATTTGGAGTCGATCTAAGGGTGTCCGTCCGCCTGCCTGAATGGTGTGCATGATAAGTCTCGAAGGAAGAATCCAGTTTGGTCCAAACTTGGTACATCTTAATATTATTGTCATACATAGATCCAGTTCGGAGATGGGCAAAATCGGTCCTCTTCCACAAATTGTCAACATTTTCAATAAAAATATTTCCCATCATTGAAAGAGAACGGATCATTCGACGTTGTGCCAATTTTGAAAATCCAAATATTTTTGTCAGTGCTAGATCAGGTGCGAAAATGGGCAATATCGGCCCACTCCATCAAGTACCACCCCACAAAGGGTCAAAATTTCGAATAATTATAACTCTTATAAAATTTGAAATTAGGGTCAGATTGCCTTTAAATTTTGCACATCCCATTATTTCTACCAACACAAGCTCTTGTGGGAAGATGGTAGATATGGGTGTACTCCTACTGGTACCTCCCTCACAACGGGTCAAAATTTTTAATAAGTATGAAGCACGTAACAGCGATGCGAGCATTCGATTATTTTCAAACTCAACACATCTCAAAATGTCTATCAGTACAAGATCAGGTGAGGTCAAATGTTGAATGATTATATATCTCATAAAGTGCGAAATAAACAGGCGATTCATTCCAAAACTATACATATTCTAATATCGGCCCACTCCTTCTGGTACATTCCATACAACTGGTCAAAATATTGAATAACCATTAAGCTCATAAAACGGGAAATTAACATACGATTCAATTCAAAATCGACACATCCAAAAAGTTATATCAACACAAGATTTGGTGTGAATAAGTATCGACAATTCGAATTATTATAACTCTTATAATATGTGAAATAAAAGTCCTTTTTATGAGAAGAAGACCTTTCTATATGAGAAGGCCTTGTGGTTTTTTATGGAGAAAAACTTGTGGTCTCTTATAGGAGAAGAGCTTGCGTTATTCCACAGCAGAAGATCTTCAGTTTTCTGAAGGAAGATATACTTTTAAATTATCTTACTTCCCAATTTTTGGACTCAAGTCCTATCGGTTCGCCCATTTACGAATTGTACCAAATTTAGTACCATGTAGTTTAGGAAGTTTTGGAAATTCGTAATACGTAAAAAACCGCCACCAATTTCAGACTGCTGTCATTTCTAAGCCACTCGCCCGACAGTGGTTAAAATGATACCGGTGACAGATAATTATATTGTTCACAAGCCTACAAAAGCATTTTGATGAGAATTTTCCAGAAAAAAAGATATTCGTGATGGAGTTAAAGCGTGATAAAGTGATTTCTTTATACTTGGCTAAAAAAGCACAAGTGGCTATCGTTAGAGCACTCCACCATTTAAATGTGAATAATTTTTTTGTGTCTTGTACCATCGCTCGTTACCGTAATACTGGTAGCGTAGCCCGACGTCAAGGAAGTGGACGGAAGAAAACAGTAACATCAGCAGAAATGGTTCGAAAAGTAAAGAAGCGACTTGATCGAAACCCGCGTCCAGTGGCCCAAAAATGGCTCGTGAGCTGAACATATCGCTATATTCCATTCGGCGAATATTGAAAAATGAGCTCGGAGTAAAGCCAATGAAATTCCAGAAAGTGCAAGAACTTACACCGTAACTGAAAGAAAATAGACTCAAAAGAGCTAAAGAGTTGCTTGCTTGGCCGAAAGTGGTGAACTGTCGAATTTGGTTTTTTCCGATGAGAAAACATTTGTTGTCCAGCAGTTTATCAAAGAGATCAGTTGAAAATGTGCACCTTGGGTTGGCCAACAGAACTCAAGCGTCGGCCATGGTGATGGTGTGGGCCGCCATAACAGCCGATGGTCGCTCTCCGCTCGTATTAATCGACCGTTGGACTAATGTGTCTTTGAGTATTTTGGAAAGCAAGCTTGGTACTAAAAATACAAAGTGTCGATCACCTCAAGCAAGCGCTTCGCCGGGAATGGACCAAAATACCGCAGAGCAACATTCGGGCAGCGTGTGACGATTTCATTGGCCATTTGGAGGCCATAATTCGTGCCAAAGGTGACCAATTCGAACAAATCTCAACTTATTCTAAAATTTGGTGCTATTTCTGACATTTTTTGCTTTCATTCAATAAAAGTTAAAAAAAAAATGTAAAAATACTGTTGCACTTTGTTGCAGTTTTTTATCGCACCCTGTAAGTTCCAATCAAAAATCAAAATTAAAAATTCGGTCACAAGGCCCCGTAACGTAGCCCCGTCAATAGTTTTTAAAATTTCAAAAAATAAAAAATGCTATCGCCTTCTCAATCGCCATAAGAACTCTCTTTAGAATTTTTCAAAAATCCCCTCCGCAATAACAACCTTCCAGAAATCGTATATTGGTCTTTATTTCTTCATTTGAAACTTTTTTTTTTATTTTTTATTTATTTATTTGTTTTTTTTTTTTTTTTTTGTAAAATTTCTAGAAGTATATTATTCAGAACTGAACATTTGGATCATAATACAATTTATGTTCCAAATAATTGTTATCAAAATATTTTATTTATTTATCAAATATTTAATATAATAATATTTAAAATAATATTTATTAATCCTGTATTAAACTTATTTTTCATTCCAGGTGTTCGTATGTTGGATGGCAAAGTGAATGATGTTGTCGAAGCGCAAGCTCTAAGTTTAAATCCATCGCATATTGATATTTACAGTGCTTCATGGGGTCCAGAAGATGATGGCTCCACAGTTGATGGTCCCGGTCCCCTGGCTCGCCGTGCCTTCATTTATGGTGTGACCAGCGGTCGTCAAGGTAAAGGCTCCATTTTTGTATGGGCTTCTGGCAATGGTGGTCGTTATACCGATTCCTGCAACTGTGATGGTTATACCAACTCGATTTTCACTCTGTCCATTTCCAGTGCTACACAAGGAGGGTAAGTAAAAGAAATATTGAATATTAGAAATAATTTAATTATTTGTTGCAAAAAAAGACAAAATTTTATAAAAACAGCAATTGTTTTAGTGGAGAAAGATGGTAATGCTTTATAGGGGGTAGGGGAGATAATATCTAGGTTTTGGAAAGAGCCCCCAATCCACATCAGTACCATTTCTCTCTGTCTGGGAATATTCTCCCCAGGAGTTATTTTAAAATGACTCCAATGACAAAAAAACTTTTTTTTATCACATATCAAATTTAGGTAAAAAATATGAAGAAAACTAATTTTTAATATTAGGAAAAGATTTAATTATTTTAATTAATAATTAAACTTAAAATTTAAGTTTATTATAATACTTTTTTATAAAACATAACATTTTCAAACATCCACACACGTATTTGCAATTGTTTCCCCCGAAATCTACCTTGGTATTAATACATTTAATTTCACTCCGCCCTCCCCACATAAAATATTCAACATATTTATCTTATTGCATTGGCGGTTATTAACAAGTCGTTAAACATTCAGTTTTAAAATTAAATAATAAATCCACTCACTAGTCTTATAAAAGCCCTCCACATAATCCAGCTCATTATCTCTGGCCCACTTAATGTTCCAGCCAAATTGCCAATGTCACAGCAGAAATAAAAATAAATAAATAAATAAAGCCGGGACTAAAAGTGGCGTTTAAATCGAACCAAAACGAGAACAGCAAAAAAAAAAAACAACAACATTCAAATAAAATATGATAATGCGGTAGGCCAAATGATTAAGCCAAAAGAGAACTTCAGAAATGGAGGGTGGGTGGCCTGTGAACGTACATTAATGAATAATTACACCCGCAATCGATAATGTTAAAACGAAAGCTTTTAACAAAAACCCCTAATAGGCGATACACACTGACACACACAAACATTAATTTTAAGCCATATTTAATTTGTTGAAAGCCAATAAATATTCATTACCAACAAATATTAATACACTCGCAGCCCAATGACAATGGGGGGCTGGAGTGCAAAAAAAAATAAATAAATTGTGTATATTTGAAAATATTCCTTTAAATTCGTAGAATAAAAAGAGCAGCAGAAAATAAAATTTTAAAATCCAGATTTTTAATTTTTACCGTTTACGTAAGGCTATAAGATTGGCATATCCCGCCGATAATTAGTTTCAAACTGTTTTTTTTAATCAAATTTGCCACCCTAATATCATTTTAATGCTATAACGGCAATATTTGCTTTTAGTGGGGATACGACTCAAGCCCACAATCCTCAACCTATAGTATTTGGTATTTATTTCAAATATTTTCTATATCTTTTTCTTAATTCATTATATACTATAAATAGATAGTACGGGAAAAGTACGACTTTCGAAATTTATATCGATCAAGTTAAGTTGTTTTTTGTCTTTTCATAGAGATTTTTTTTTTTTTGGAATACAGAGATCCATTCTTTGGAAATTTATAACTCAAAGTCTTCTCATACTTTTCATTAGATAAAACTGCTCTAAATTTCAAATTTCTTAATATGCGCTTTTGTATGTAGTACTATTGGAATATATTTTAGCCCCAAGAAGCTTCATTTTATAACCTCCACCATACGAAGGACAGTATAATAAATTTGCTATTCCATTTGTAACACCTCGAAATATTTGTGGGAGACCCCAAAAATGTATACAGGGTGAGATAAAAAAAACTGCAACAAAGTCAAACGACATAATTTTTACATTTTATTTAAATTTTTATTGAATGAAAGCAAGAAATGTCGGAAATGGCATCGAATTTTAGAATAAGTTAAGAGGAACCTCATTTTGTAACAATTCGTACTGAGTACAATGGTGCTGAGTCCTGTTGGAATGTCCAAGGTCTGCGAACGAAATGTTTGCGTGTCCAAGGCCTTAATACGCCCTCCAGAATTTTCACGATAATATTCGGCATTTATTCTGATGCCACAGTCGATTAATACGAGCGGAGAGCGACCATCGGCGGTTCTGGTGGCCAATCGAAAGTGCACATTTTCAGCTGACCTCTTTGGCAAGTAAACATTTTGTTTGTTTACAAGCTGCTGGACAACGAATGTTTTCTCATCGGAGAAAATCAAATTCGGCAGTTCACCACCTTCGGCCAAGCGAAGCAACTCTTTTAAGTCTATTTTCTTTCTGTTGCGGTCTAAGTTCTTGCACTTTTTGGAATTTCAATGGCTTTACCCCGAGCTCATTTTTTAATATTTTCCGAATGGAATATTGCGATATGTTCAGCTTACGAGCCACTTTTCGGCCACTGCGACGGGGATTTCGATCAAGTCGCTTCTTAACTTTTCGAACCATTTCTGCTGATGTTGCTGTTTTCTTCCGTCCACTTCCTTGACGTCGGGAAGATGGATGCGGTTTTTTTTTTCATTTCACCCTGACACAAAGGTTTTTAGTATATGCAGGCTGGTCCTCATTTATTATAGCCCCCCTACAACAGTACCTCCCAATTTTCGGAATTTCGAAGATTTCCGCCACAATTCTCTACCAAATTAGCTTGAACTTGTCAGTTGGGATTCTCGGTAGGTCTGTTCTTTCCTTGAAAAAAAATGTTTGATTCAGGTCCACTAATTGCCCCCATATAATGGTACCTACCGATTTTCCGTATTACTTAGGTTTCTGCCACAACTTTAAACTAAATCAGCTAAAACTTTGGGGTTCTTGGTAGGTCAGTTCTCTGTCTCGGCAAAGAATATGCCAAGATTCTACATACAAGATTCTACATCGAAAAGTACAGAAAATTACTGCGAAAAAATGTTGACGTTTTCATACCCTTTTGGTACTAATATCCGCTATCGATCCCTTTAAAAAAGTTCCTTTTTTTCTACTCCTTCGAATTTAAATTTTATCCATAGGTAGGTAAATTTTCAGGTGCAAAATGGTGCCAATTTGGAAATCGGCACATCTTGCCCAACCATTTTGTACGTTTTAATGCTTGTCTTACCATAGTAGTAGTACAAATTTCTCAAACTCGCAACTTATTATATCTTTTGCACCAATATCGAATATTACGAAAATTTTTGCTTCTACCGATCACTCGACAAAAGTTTTGTACCTTTTAGTACGATTCGTAACACTAATTTTTCAATAATTCCGCTCCATCTAATATAACATTACATATAACACTATCTAATAATATTTTAATTCTGAGCGATGACTCTTTACCTTTCAGTACATTTTGTACCCTTAAAGTATAAATTTTTAAAAATTCAGCCGCATTTTCACCCACTTAACCAAGAAAAACCTTGAGAAAAATTCAAAATCATACGGTACCTTTTAGTACTCTTCATATGCTTATAGCCCAAATATACAAAAGTTGCGCATTATCTCCTTCAAAAATGGTGCCGTACAAAAAATTATGGGTTTCAGGGCTTTCCAGTCGCTCAATACCAGTGCCGCAAAACTTGTGCTTATAGTACTTTGTGTACTCTTAAATTACGAATTTTTAAAAATAGCACATTACCTTACCCCCTCCTTTCGGAGGGTGATCCTTAAGCTAAATTAACAAGTTATAGCTCTTACCGGTAGCCTTATTTAAAAAGGCATACTATTCGGTACCTTTTTGGACTTTTCGTTCCTTTTATATACAAATTTATAATTTTTAGCCCTTTCCGGCGGCTCAATGACAGGGGCGTACTATTGTGCAACTTTTAGTACTTTTCCTTTCATTTATGCGTTCTTCTTATTGCTTTTTCCAACTTTTAATTCATTTCTAATTTTATCTATTACTCTCCTTTCAGCTTCAAACCCTGGTATTTGGAAGAATGCTCTTCTACCCTCGCCACCACTTACAGTTCAGGAACTCCGGGTCACGACAAGAGCGTTGCCACCGTTGATATGGACGGTCGCCTGAGACCCGATCATATTTGTACCGTGGAACATACCGGCACATCAGCTTCTGCCCCCTTAGCCGCTGGTATTTGCGCCTTGGCTTTGGAAGCCAATCCCAATTTGACTTGGCGTGATATGCAGTATTTGGTTGTCTACACATCCCGACCGGCTCCATTGGAAAAAGAGTCTGGTTGGATGTTGAATGGTGTTAAACGCAAGTACTCCCACAAGTTTGGTTATGGTCTTATGGATGCTGGAGCTATGGTCTCATTGGCTGAACAATGGACCACAGTGCCGCCTCAACATATTTGCAAGTCAAGAGAGAATAATGAAGATCGGAAAATTGAGGGGACCTATGGTTATACTTTGGCTACCCATATGGATGTAAATGGCTGTGCGGGAACGATTAATGAAGTTCGCTATTTGGAACATGTACAGTGTCGCATTACACTGCGTTTCTTCCCTCGTGGTAATTTACGTATCCTGCTCACCTCGCCCATGGGCACCACGAGTACTTTGCTGTTTGAGCGACCACGTGATATAATCAAATCGAACTTTGATGACTGGCCATTCTTGAGTGTTCATTTCTGGGGTGAAAAGGCTGAGGGTAGATGGACCCTGCAAATCATCAATGGTGGTCGTCGTCGGGTAAATCAACCTGGCATCCTGTCCAAATGGCAATTGATTTTCTATGGCACAGCTGTACAGCCTATGCGTTTGAAGAGTGATTTGGTGTCGCAACCCATACGTGATCCTGTGTATACCTTTCCAACTGAATCGGATTTAGGACAACCCATAAATACCGATCAGTTTAGTAGTTTTTTAAATTTCCAAAATCTCTACACGGGAGCTGGTTCTAATCCCGAGCAGGCCGTTACCACTGTGGATGGCCATAACATACCCACACCGCAGAGACAAAATGTCATGGCCGATTCTAATAATAAACTGGTTTTGCATGACTGTGATCCCGAGTGTGATTCCCAGGGTTGCTATGGCCGTGGACCCACCCAGTGTGTGGCCTGTAAACACTATCGTTTGGACAAGTAAGTATTTTTTGTAGGGAATTAAAAAATCTTAAATGACTATTTAATGTTTCATCCTTTTTCAACCTTTTAGCACCTGTGTCAGTCGTTGTCCCCCACGTTCATTTCCCAACCAAGGCGGTGTCTGTTGGCCATGTCATGAGTCGTGTGAAACTTGTGCCGGTGCAGGCCAAGATAGTTGTTTGACTTGTGCTCCTGCCCATTTGCATGTAACCGACTTGGCTGTTTGCCTGCAGGTCTGCCCCGAAGGATATTATGAAAGTGAGTTGAAAAGTCTTGTAAAGCGAAAATAAAAACAAAATAAGTACTTTCATCTTGCCTGGCCTTCTGCTAACGTCTCCTTGTGCATCTTCTTTGTGTTCTTCTTTTTTCCAGATTATGACAACAAAACTTGTGTTCCCTGTGAAGCTAATTGTGGTTCATGTCAAGATCGTCCCGATTATTGTACATCATGTGAACATCATTTAGTGATGCATGAACATAAATGCTTCTCCTCGTGCCCCCTGCATACCTACGAAACGGAGGAATACAAGTAAGTACACTTCAGTTTTAATACTTGCTTTTCTCTACACAAGTACTTCAGCGGTTTTATTTTTATATGAAATTATTTTTATATAACAAGAATATGGTTGTAGTGGTAGTGCTGCACAATATTATACAACATTAATCTCCTTTACCTTGACACTTTTTCCACATCATAATATTGCCAAGAGGAATATTATGAGGAATAATATGAAATAAAATACTTTCCAATCTGCACATATAACCTCGGAGTTTAAGTGCGGTTAAGTGAAATGCAAATTAAGTTAACTTTGGTTATGTGGAATGAAATAATATACAGTTGACTTAAAAAATTGGTTCAAATTATTTTGAATATATTTCAAATAATGAGTTATAAAAAATCATAACCTGATAAACGTCGATTTTTAAACTTTTTTCTACCAATGAAACTACAATGAAAATTGTTTATAGTGCAAACAGAATTTAATTGCAAATATATAATACCGGATAACATTAAATTGTAATTCCAATGCCTAAAAAAATTGAAGCATAAAAATTACATTTTCTACCTAATTATATTGTCAGTCTTTATGTAAATTTAATTGCAATACTCAATATCTCATTATTTAAAAATGTATTGCCAGCGAAATAACTATATAAAAAACCCTTAAGGAATAGTCAAAGGTCGGGCGGGCCGATTATATGACACCCTACACCATATTAAGTAGAGCTTCCGTACCAAAAGAATTTATTTCAAGTAGATCATACCACCTATCAACCTTTGACTTCAGAGCAGTTATAGTTTTTGTTTCAGGGGTAACTAATATATGGGAGGCGTATCCCATTCTGAATCGATTTTCACTGAATTTGACGGAGACATTTTAATTCTTTATTCCAAAAAACATTGCTGTAGAGCGAATGATATCACTTCGAGAGGGATTATATTAAAAAAAATATATATATCGGAGCCGAGTTCCACAAAATGGAAACGTACGTCCCGAAATTCACTCCATTTGGATATATATGGGAGCTATATTCAAATCTTAGCCGTTCTTGATAAAATTTAGCAAATGTATTTCTGAGTTCTATAAGATATCTGGCACAAATATCCTTGTTGTAAAGTGCATATTACGCATGTGACGGACTTTAACATCAAATCGGATGAAACATATATATGGAAGCTAAAGCTATATCTAACCCGTTTCATTTTCAAATTTGATGTACTTGCTTCTAGACTGAATTCGGTCGGATGTACCAAAATCTAAGGAACTATATCCACACACTTATTTCAGAGCTGTATCTGATATCTGGTACCAAAGATCATTATTGTGGAATGCATATTACACGTTTAAGGGACTTTAAACCCCAAATCGGACAAAACATATATATGGGAGCTATAGCTATATCAGAACCGATTTTCGCTAAATTTGAAGTACTGGTTTCTAGGATGAATTTAGTCGTAAATTCCATTTAGGCTTATATTAGCCATTTGGTGCACAATAAACCTGATATCGGATAAAGAAATATATGGAGCTATATCCTAATCTGAACCGATCTCGATAACATTTGTGATGGACTTAAAACTCCAAATCGGATGAAACATATAAATGACTATAGCTAGATCGGAACCGATTTTCTCCAAATTTAATGTACTTGCTTCTAGACTGAATTCGGTGGGATGTACCAAAATTCAGGTCATTAGGACTTATATTGGCCATTTGATGCACAATTGACCAGAAATTTATGGGAGCTGTATCTAAATTTGAACAGATTCTCGCCAATGTCAATGGGGTTCGTCCTTAGGCCAAACAAATATTGTTTGGACAATTTCATCCCAATCGGATAATAAATGCGACCTGCATTTTGTTCACAAAAATTCATGGACAGACAGACGGACTGACATGCATAAATCGACTTAGAAAGTGATTCTATGAAGATCCTCAAAAGTAACTATGAGTCTATCTCGCTTCCTTCTCCCTGTTACAAACAACTGCACAAAGACATAATACCCTTACCACTTTGCGGTGTAAGGTATAAAAATTGGCTCCGTTCGCGGGCTGTAACCACAGATGATCTGGAGTGGCGGAGCATCGTATTGTACAGGCCTGTATTACACGCCGAACACAATTGTACTGTCTGCTGCTGGGCTTTGATTATCAATCAGTCAGTCAATTGTTTCACTACTCTTTTATATATACATAGATTCGACTCATAATGACTGTATCCATAGAGTCCCAATTTTGTTTATCCACCAATTCTATAAAATTCTTCTTCAGCCAGGATCATAAAAAATTTCGAGTGTTTGACGTCCCTAAAATTTCCAATTTAGCAAAGACAAACAATGTGATAACCTACAACACTACAATATGTTGGAAAACCTCCTTAGTTCCGAACACATTTTAGTCGATTATTTGGAATTATGCAATAATGTTACCCTTTGTTTTTTGCAGGGGATATTTTCCTTATATTTATACTCTATGTCGTCTTGATAGGTATCCAAAACAATTTCACACAAAAGTTGTGGTCCATTTTACCCACTACATATAACTCAAGGGTTGTACAAAATGCTGCAACTCTGCGCTGTCCTAAACCCTAAGGTGAAAAAATATTACCAAACAAAAATTCAATATTATAAGACAAAAATGAAAAATCTCATGCGATAAAAATATAACAAAAAAATATAAAAAAATATTCACATTTTTTTTAACCGATTTTCTTAGATTCTATCCTTTTCTGGTATGAGGTCTAATTAACATCCCCTTCATTGATATATGAGATTGTACATATTTTGCTATATATGCGACATCTTGGATAAGATAATCAATGTAACGGTCAAAAATGAAATTTTCGTGCGTTTGTGATTTCGCCCGGATTAAAAATATTCGCAGTTTGACGCAAATTTTGTTGTGGTATATTTAACCCGCTAAATATTGTCCGATGACCAAATACTCTAGCCGCATGCTAAATTCCGCGTCGATTGGTCTATAATTGCGACCTGTAGAGCAACTGCAAAATCAAGATTTTTTTCTTGTTTTTGGTCCATTTCAACAGTTAAATATTATGTGATCATCTCCAAAAGCAATAGGCTTCTATTCTGACCCTTACCCCACCTACATTTTCAATTTCGTGAGGATCGGGCCATAATCGCGACCTGTAGAGTGATTACAAATTAACGTGGCCAGACGGACAGACGGACATACATAGATAGATCGACTCAGCTCGGCGAGATATGAAGATCCATAAATAGTTTTCTATGTCGGAGAGCAATATTTCGAGGTGTTACATAATATTTGGCCCAATCAATCTTATAATACCCCCAACACATACTGTTGTAGGGTATAACAATTTTTAGAGGAATGAACTAATATCGTATTTTTAGTCGGTTAAAAATATAATAATAAAATACTAAATTTAATATATTTTAGGATTTATATTTACACCCTTTCTTATCAATACCATCCAGACTAAATAACTTCATGAGCCCGAGTTTGAGCATCATCAAAAGTTATTTTTAGTAAGATCGTTCAAAGTGTTAAACAATATGAATGTTGTTTTGGTCGGTGCTTGGCCAATATTTTGCTCTCCATCTTTCTCTCTCTCTCTCTCTCTCTCTCTCTCTCTCTCTGACGTCAAGGTGATGTTTTTACCTTGCATTCCTTCATTCTAACAAAACACAGATTGAATTAATAAATTATATCAATTAACATTTTACCACATTGTTTCATGTACTCCAGTTGATTTTATTTGAAGGCCCTGCCCTCTAAAGGAGTTAGTGAGGTGTATCAGTATTAGAGCGGTGGTGGCGATGATTGTTGTTGGCTGGTACAACAAGTGCCTCATTAGTGAGTTTCTCTCCTTTGCCGTTTTGTCATTACTGCGGCATGAACGCCCTTCCACTTAATGTTTCGTCTCTTCATCGTGTCGTCGTCGTCATCTACTCAGCAGAAATACTTGAGATAAAGTTTCAGTGAAGCTGCAATATATGTTATGCACTTCATATAGCGCTTGTAAAGTGTTTGGATGTTTTTTTTTTTTCTTTCTTGTGTTGCTTTTTCTATTTTTTGCTTTTTTTCTCTTCATTTTATGACAACATTCTAATTACTATGAAAATGTTCACACTTCTTGTTGCAATGTCATGTTACACGTTAATGAGTTCACAAGAGCCGCTTTAGTTGTACACATCACAGAGATACGTACATACATACATTCGAAAGAATAAACATTTGGCTGGAAGTATGTCTTATACAAGTATGCTATCTGAATTACGCTATCATATACAACTATTATTATATCGCTGTAGTGAAACCTCTACGCCACTTGTCGAGGGTTAAGTAGTGCCAGAGGATAAATGTTTGGCAAAAGGATTTAATGGTTTGGTTGTTGCAACAACAACAAAAAATTGTTGCTGATGCAGCAACAGCAAGCACATTTGTGACACCTGACTAATTTGCAGATGTTTGAAGAAAAAATATATAATAGAGAAAATAAAAAATATATGAAGTGGATCACAACTTCTCGAAGTTGTAATTTGGGCTCCATTAAATCGTCCATATATTCAAATTTATTTGGCAGAGGTCCCAAATCACGATACCTCCTGATTTTCGGCATTTAAATATTTTACCTGAATTTTCAAACAAATCAACCATAATTTGGTATATCTGTTTTTTTTTATAAATTCACTCTTCCCAAAAATATCCAATATAACTATAAATGAATCTTCGGAATTGTCTTTTGATTGTGACAGGGTTTAAAACTTATAGGCAGGATAGGCTAACATACATGCGCAGGAGGTGGCACTGTAGTTTTAGTCAAAGATAATCTTCGCTGAGAAAAAAATCCCCATCTCCTCAGCGGATATAAAATCTGGTGTTGCTATAGTCTCGAGGAATGAAAGTTCTCTATATGATTCGCCTCTTTATAACAGCGATCTGTTGGTCGTTTCCAAATTTTGGATTTAGACTCCATCCGCTTTACGCGGCAGTGGCTATGTAGAAGTTAGTGGATACCTGAACGCGAGACATCCGACATTTT